GAAACTGCCACATTGATGCTTACCGAAGTAACACAAGCATACCAATCAGAATTACTGCATATAAGTTAACCAGGAGCATTTTTAAGTAGCACAGCACGCAAACTAACATGCAGTAGCTGGTAACCGCGCGGTCATAACAACAACAGAGACAAACTCTTGCATTACAGGTTTTACACACAGCAAGTTCCGTTACCCTGCACAGTTGTACCAAGCATCAAAATTACAAACAAGTATAAAAAGTTAGCTTCAAATGAGGTTTATGTTCACACACCTTCTGTTGAATGTCCCCTGATATTTCTCTTGCATATTTAGGACACAAGCATTAGCAACAGTAACTTGGCTACACTAGCCGCAGTGCTACAACCACATTCTACAGGCTAGGTAGGCTTATGCAGTAAAGCAACTGCTTCCGCGTCTGTGAGTCACGGACAGTCGCAGCCGATCCAGGCTTTATCTTCAGATATTTTACAAAGCCTGCGTTTGAGGCCAGTTGTTAGTGCTAACTATTGTTAGCGGTCCTGCTAGCCACCGGTAACACGTTAGCTTCACTTACATTATTTGCTGTTATATCGTTACTTTCAGCTTGTGGCTCCTAGTGCTTGATCGATTCAACTGCTTCAGGTTTGAGAAGCAGCTGAAACGCTTATCCAGCGTCAAATTATCCTTTATTGACAAAGCTATCTTTGGTGAAATGCTGAGCACAAACAGCTAACATTCCCTTTGGCCATGGCTGTTTGCCGCCAGCAAACAAAAAAGCTACCCACTGATTTCTGGTGGCATCGTCTTTTGGAAGAGAAATAGGCGCTTTTCTTCGCGTCCAAAAATAAACAGATGAGCAGCTTTGGGAGAGATACTGACAAAACTGCACCTCAAATGATCTGTGGTTCTTCTTTTGTATTTCTGGAAGTGTAGACGCAACTAAGGCATAGTATGATCCGCGGTTGTTTGGGCCTGCTAGAATAATTTCCGGTGTGCGCAGGTCCAGCGCCGTGATTGGCTTTGGCTAGGTCTGTATTAATTGGACGGCACAACCTGACGTCAGGTTTTGCCCAGATCTCGTGAAGATTTCGGGACAAGCTGTTCAGAGAGGAAATCGCGTTCACAATATCACGTTCCTGGATTACGGCAAAACCCCTGTATCTTATGTTTAGAAACTTTACAGAGGTTGAATATGGACATCCAACATTATAATACTAGTAGCATGCAGAGCATGTGTGGGGAAGCGAGTCCCTTACTGGTCAGGTCATTGGTCAGCTCAATGCACCCTCTGTTGGCAATTTCGAGCAGAGCAGCCGATCGGTTGATGACAAACATGCATACAAACAGAGGGCGCATTGAGGTGACTAATAAGGGACTCGCTGCGCTCGCCCCAATTACTTATGTGTATTAAAAGAAGGATCAGCATAATAGGTCCCCTTTAATGACAGTCTGACGGGCAAAGCGGATGAATACTTGGAGCAGAGTGTCAAATCCATGCGTCAACGTCAAGTTCTGATTCAACTTCGACCGAAGTTTTTGAAGTTGAAAAACAACAAACACTGTTTTAATGTTCAATCCGTGGATGAAATGCGGCACATGTAAAATACAGTCTACGGTACAATCATGGACATTGAGCGCAAAAAAATTCCACTAAGCGCAGATGCCAGTGCAGGGTCGGCTTGATACTAAGATGCAAAAAACACGAAATCCAACTTGCTTATGAAAGGTACGACGCGAGTTGAGTGAATTTTGCGTTTCTTGACCAACCCAAAATCTACTCAACAAGTTTCATAACTTTAATATAAGACGACTGCGAGTATAAGACTCCGTTTATCACATAACTGAATCGCGTAATTTAATAGACAGTGAACTTCATTTCCGTTTTTGTTTTTTGCTTTAACATTGTCCAAGAAATAGCTAGAAATTTGATCGAAATAAAAATTTGCTTTGAGAAACGTCCGTCCAGAATCTTCTTAATTCAGTGTAGTCAGAGAGAGAACCTCTTTCAAATTGGCTTCGTCTTACTCCTATGTTGGATATCTGATGCGTGACACGAATAACAGCAAAAGACATTCACTCAATTTAATTGAATGGCAATAGTTTGCTTCCAAGACCCGACAGGCAATCACGGGAAGCATGAATAAAAAGAACAAGTTATAAAAATAAAAAATTCTACCGACCCCGATTCTTGAAACGGGGTCGGATTACGCCCAACCACAGTGCACGGGGAGGTCGTTGATCAGTCGAGAAGAACGCAAGAATGGAGGCGTTGCACTGGATGCAGAAACCGTAGTGTAAGTCACGTGATCCCCGAAGTAACTCAGGAAGATGGCTCTGATGGGATGGAAATGCATCGATTAATTATTATTTATTTATATATAAAAAATGTATTTCCTTGTTCTGAAATGTCGCATGTATAACCAGATATTGAGCCTCAGGTCCAAATGCTCCGCCTTATCCACGACACTAGCTCAACAGACTACAATATTCACTGGTCGATTTAGCACTTGTATAGCTGTGCTGTATTTGAACTTGAGCATATTGACGCGAGCATTTTCAGTCATAAACCGGCTTTGAAAACAACAATTGAATATTTAGCGGTTAATTATAGCGAAAAACAAAAAAAAAAAAAAAACAAACCAGTGACTATACTGCTGAGGTCTTCCAGTGCATAGCATAATGGGGAGAGGACTCTCAGATAGACTGGCTAAAACAATAGCAAGCGCAGATTTACCCATAAACAGCTTTTATGACAAAATATCAAAAGGTAAGAAAAATTTTTCTCATCTCTGTAGCATTTAAAGCGTATGCCTGCTGTTCTTTGAGTGTGGTGTCAATTTAAAATGACAAGGCTTATATCGTTGGAATCTGTGGACTGTCCTTTTTCATTTGAGGTATCATTTGTATGCATAGCACAAATTCAGTAGAAATGCTTGCAATAGAGCCCTGATCTTATTTTAGGCTATTTAATGTTTTGCTAGATGCTTATTTACTTGCTTGGTACTTGAATTGTGTTCGGTTTAGGTAAAAACGGTCATCACGAACTTTTCGCCGAGTTTCTTCGCTTTAAGAGGATATGCCGCATGACGAGGTTGCTATTCGGAAACATGCTGTATTTATTATGCAAATTCATTGCCCCCGTTACTGGGGCGTTCAGGCTTAAGGTTAATATTTGTATTGAATATATTTTCCACTAATTTCTTTAAATCTTCACTTTAAAACCAGTTTTCATTGCAACAAAACCGTTGACTTACTTGTGAACTTCTGGTACATGAAGCAGCTTTTCTCGAAGTGCTCTGAGCAAAGAACTGAATGTTTTGTTGGTTTGTAAGGCTTTCCACAGTCAATTCTTCTTAATTTAACAAGCCAATCTTTCAAAAGAGCTTCATTATTTTGTGGAAATTGATGGAAACTTATTTTGCCGTATTTTCCAGACGACTGAATGGCATTATTATAGGTGCAAGCAACAGCAGCACAAGATTTCCCCATTTTCAGTATGCCGCGATCAACCTTTCTGCACATCTTGCTTCGGGGATCATGTGACCACCTACGTAACTTGCAACAACCTCATTGGTCGTTGGTCGTGTTTGTCACACTGTCAAAAAGCGGCAGTGTTAGGGTCGTGTATTTTGGGCAAAATTTGTGTGGGTCGTGAACTGGGCGGAAGCTGGTAGTGAAATGTGACAATCCAGACCTAATTACGACCGAATTTCCGCCTGACGACTCAAAACCGCTTGTCTTCAGACTTTAACTCAGAATCCGGTCGTGTCTTGCTCACCACTGGAAACCGACCACGGTCGTCTTGACATCACGTAGTGTTGCCAAGATTACTGAAATAAACGGAGAGGACAGGAGGCGGGGCACTGCAGCTTGGGGCTAGAGTACCACACCCAACCTCCACTTTTTTTTTTGGCCAGATCGATTTTAAAAGGGGGCACAAATATTTTTGGGGGGGGTTTATGAGTGAGAAGTGGGTTTAGATTCATGGGGGAACGATTTTAAAAGGGGGCACAAATATTTTTGGGGGGTTTTATGAGTGAGAAGGGGGTTTAGATTCATGGGGGAACGATTTTAAAAGGAAAGGGCAGATGCGGCGCGAGGAAAAAATATTTTGCGGTAATTACTGTTTCCATATCTTTTCTCCTCCCTTGCGTCACTACCTCTGTCTACTATATCTTCAACTTTTTATGTCCTTTTTTCACCCTTGTTTTTTTCCTCCTTCGATAAAGCTGTGAACAAAGATTTACAAGATAAGTTAGACATTACATTAGTGTTTGCAGCGGGATTTGAACCTGGAAACCCGACAACAAAGCAAAGCAAACAAGGCATCACACACTGAGGTCTTAACCACTGGTCCAGCCAAATTTACTTCTAACTAGATGCATCAGTTTCTGTTTATCGCTGAAGGATAAAAGACAACCAGCGGTATAACGTTCTATAAATAATGTTCATTTTCCTTCTTATTTATTGTTATCAATGAGGAGACGTCATGTGAATATCCATTTTGACATATTTTATGCTGGTGAGCTGGCTGATCCGTTGACCCTGGGTAGAATAATTTGAGCCGAACAAACCATTGTTTGTGTACGAGTTGGGTTAAGGTTAGGGATAGGGATAGGATTACCTATGAGTTAGGTTAAGGATAGGGTCAGGGATAGGGATAGTTTAGTTCGTTTGGTAAGTGAGAGCACGAATGTACCATGCTCGGGCACGGTACGCGAGTACGGCTGGAATAGGTGGATTCGGGCACGATCCATCCGTACTCGTATCAAATGTGAAAGCAACCGTACTTGAGCACGGCAGATTACCGCTATATGTCACGGCTGTCTTGTTCTAACAAATGCAGCGGCGAAAAGATCCCTCAATTCAAACGAATAAATTAAATACTTGCTCGAAATGTAGGCGGACGAAAACACAATCACCACTAATACTACGCACAAAAACTCAGTCCTTTGGAATTAATTGTGAGTACATTACATTCGCATAATTATCACAATATAACATGCGGCAGACCGATAGCGTAGCCGGGCGGGGAATCGAACCCCAGACTCCCCAGTAAGAGTTAAACACGCTGACCACATCGCCAAAGCGCCAGGCCCTATGTAAGTAGTGCCTGGACAAATAAAAGAAAACTAGCCGATACATGTGTGAAAGAGGTGAAGGAAGCCAGCCAAATCCCATCCTCCGCGAGCACTGTGGAAGCAGAAACTAAGGACCAGAAAGCTATGATGACTCAAAGTGACCTGACGTACAACGACGACCTTTATTTGAGCAGTTTACGACTTGGGCAACATTGAGTCGGTATTCGGTGTGAAAGAGGTCAACCCAAGTTCTTCAGCTAACCTTGATAGTCGTGTTTAGGTAGTTACAAGAGTCGTGAAGGGGGCGTGCGAAATAAACGACTCAAGTCAGACAGCATTTCGCCCCAAGCCAGCCTAATCCCATCCTCCCCGAGCACTGTGAACAGAGATATTTTTATGGATGACCCCACCCACGTTAAAGTGGTACTCAATTGTAATGGAAAATGACCGAAACCGAGTAGGCTCGAGTCAAGTCGTGCTGTGCTAAAACTGTAATGGAAAAGTGGCATATGTAAGTTACTTAGTTAGCAACTACGCTTTTGGGAAACGCACCTGGGGCGATCAGAACTTGGCATCGTCAATCTTCTATCGTTTTCTAAATGGGATGGTGCAATGACCCGGTTACATGCACGCGGATTGAAGCTTCAAATCTGTTCATCCTAATCTGTGCCTAGGCCAAATCATTTAACTTAATTTACATCTCACCTCTCGGCTGTTTCTCGTATCCACGCAGATTCGGCGGTCGCCAGACTTTCTTCCAGGCTTAGGCTTGTGCCTGTGAAGAAATATGGTAGGAACGGCGTCGGGTTTTAGCCGCTTTTGTGCTGTGTATCCCAATAGTCCTGCTTGCATATTGTCTTCATAGCAAGAATCCTCGAAGTGGTCCTCGCACACCACCCCGTTTCTTCCAAATGGAAAGGTTTCCAGTGTGTATCCAGTGCCGATATTGTGGAGCCACTGGCGAGCGATCAATTCTCGCGAAGAACTGATGGGCTTTGGCACACAAAAATAGTGTTTCTCTTTGTTTTCACGCTTGTTATTCCTGCAGCCAAATGCTTTGCATTCCGCCATGACCACCTGTAGCCTTACACGTGTTCTATGGCGCATGCGCGTAGCAATCCAGGGTGGCAACGTGTTCTTCTTCTTTTGGCGTTAACTCGTAATATTCTTCTTGTTGCGTTACTGCCTCCTCCAGGTTTTAAATGGTCATCGCTTTTTCTTCGCGTTGTGGTTTCCCACTAATGTTCCAGTGTTTTAATACCGGTATGTCTTGTTCCAGTCAGGAATCTGAGGATCGCCTTCTTCCCATCAGCTGGACCTCCACACTCCAGTACATCTTTAATATTTGACTCTATTCGCGCTACCCCCTGTAGTCCAGTCATCACATTTCTTCTCTGTGTTTCATATCCACAGCATACAATTAACACACGCCTCATTGTCTCCTTCTCCCCACACGGACTATAATTGCCAGTTGGATGTTTGCCTGTTAGATACAATGTCCTATTCAGCTTGCTGTTTCCAATTCTCATTCTGCTCAATAACTTGTTCTGTTCTGTTGTTTCCTCTATTAACTTCTCTTCCAGTTTTCTTTTGGATTTTATGCAAATACCTTCCTTTGGTCTCTCCATCCCAACACTGCTGCCACTTTTTGCCCAGTTCTTTCCAAATTATGGTTTTCCCGTCTGACTTTGAGAGTTTTGCTGATGCTGACCTCTTGGCTGTGCTGAAGCGCTGTTCGTTGGTGTTCATTCTGCTTGAGTTGAGACAGAGGAAGACGTGTAGGATTGAAGCTGAAGATTTACTCTTGTCTAAACGGAGTTTTCTGAAAATAATTTGTCTGTTAAGGCTCAAACAGTATTAGAGATTAGACAATTTGCTCCTGAGGTATAACCTTTGTCGCATTAGGGGCAGGGAGAATCTTCCTCCTTCTTTTTCCCCTTTTTCCCCCTGTAACAACTCGGTGAGCAAACAGCCAAATTAAGTCGCTAATCTGGTCAAACAAAGGCGACGGGGGTTTTTTGGGGGGGTTTCAGTCTCCCGGGAGCAAAGTAAGGTAAAGTAAAATAAATTTAAACGCTAAATTTAAAGAATAAATTAAACGCTAAATAATTGTCTAACTGAGTGAATTGTGTGCTATACAAAGTAAAACAGTTGTTTTCAAGGACTGAGGTACACTGTCGCCTGCTTTTTCTGCAGCTGATTTAGCAAACGAACTATAGTAAGCTCTCAACGCCAAGAATATATCAAATTACCGGGATATCAAACTATAACCCGGTTTGGTTTCATACTTGGTCGCTTGCCTTTCATACAGTCTTCTAGCCAATAAATATTGACGTTCACCGGGGTTTTTTAGTCCCCTTCGTTCTCTATCCTGACCGCATTATCGCGATAAACGCATTGCCAAGCTTGAATATTAACGCTTAACCGGGTTTTTGTCTTTTTCGCATTTTATTATCATCGAAGGGCTCTTCTGATTAAACATATTGCAAATTACGTTATCTTTGTATTTTCCTCCGGTTGCGGTGCCTTGATCAGCTGATTAAAGTTTAACTGCTTGTTTGAGTGCTCAGCGACAGCTTGTTGGGGGAGATACCGTGTATAGTTCGCTCACTAAGTAAACGACTTGTTTATTCGGTCCGTTTTAATTAAAGGTAACCGAGGCTTTACTCTTATCTCGGTTACCCTTGCTTGTATTTGTGGCTGGCTAGCTAGATAGTTACTGTTTGCATTTTTGGCTGGGGATCTGAGATTTAGTATTTAGTTAGTAGGGCAGCAGTCACTTTAGTCGACCATTCGGTTTGGTTGGAATTTAAACGGAAAGCTTTACCGGAGTGCTCCGCCTCCTCCCTCCTCCAGTTTCTCCTGGGCGTAGTAGCCAGTCTTTTTTATCTGGGTTCTCAGCTAAGCCCTGTGATATTTTTAGGTTAGTATATTAATAGTACCGGGACTAGAAAAATTCAAGTTGGCTTATTAGGAGTGCTTATTATCCATAGAGTTTCTCAATTTGGTATTTCATTTCTGTTAACTGAAACTAAGCCCCTGTTAAAAGAGGCTTATTATCCATTCACATAGTTTCCCCCACGGTTTCTATTGTGACTGCTGCTTAGGGCTTCTCAGGTTAATAAATAAATAAATTGTGGTTCCTGAGCTTCTGTCTCAGCATTAGTAATTTTCTTTGTTATCTAGGGTGAGCGAGGTCATTAGGTAGGGGGTTCAAAATGTGGCCAAAACTATGTGACGGTTGCAGGATGATCGCACTTTTGGAAAGAGATTTCCAGGGTGGGTTTGTCTGTCACCGCTGCCAGCTAATTGAGCATCTGGAGAGCAAGATCCTTGATCTTCAGGGCCAGTTAATGCACGACATAGTTCGTAATCAGTAGAGTTCCTAGAGGAACTAAGTAGTATGTCGTTTAGAGAAATGGTCTGTACGCCAAAGCAGGGTGGTGTGGGGACCCTAGAGCAGGCAGGGAGAGAAAGTTGGGTGACGGTAGGACGTCAGCGCAGGAAAGGGCGTGCACATCGTACAGCGACAGCTCCTCCAGTGGTTGAGGTGTCCAACCGATTCCGGCCCTTGCAGGAACTCGAATTGGCCCCTGACCCTGAGAGTGAGGGGACTGATGAGCAGCAGGGCACCCTGTTGGCCTCTACCCCTCAGAAAAGAGAGTTATTGATAGTGGGGGACTCAATACTTAGAGGAATAGACAGTTTAGTCTGTTCGCGACAAGGAGTCTCAGACGGTGTGTTGCCTGCCTGGTGCCCAGGTAGGAGACCTCCTGGAGCGTGCGGACAAGCTCCTGGCCAGAGCGGGGAGGGATCCAGTTGTCATGGTCCATGTTGGGACTAATGACACAGGTAAGGGTAGGTTTGAGGTTCTGCAAAGCAAATTTGTTGAATTAGCTGAAAAGCTTACGAGCAGATCCTCCACGGTAGTGTTCTCCGGGATTCTACCGGTACCACGTGCAAGCAGAGGGAAGCAGAATTTTATCTGGAGGTTTAACACGTGGCTACGAACCTGGTGTAGGAAAGAGGGGTATAGGTTTATGGGGCACTGGAACTACTTCTGGGACAGGGGTGACCTGTTCAAGCCGGATGGGCTACACCTGAACCGGAGGGGTACCTTTGCACTGGGTCAGCGTATGTTGAGGGTAGCAGAGAGTTATTTAAACTAGGGACTTGGGGGGCAGGGAGGTTAGAGAGTGTTATACAGAGGGAAATGCAGACTGCCCTGATGGAAGCTGACAGCGTTACATGCACTATTGATGATATATTTTTAAAGCAGAAAAGCGTGGTGAGGGGCTTTGAGCAGCGGGCACATGGGAAATCGAAGGGGAAGAGCGTTCGTGATAACCTGAAATGTTTTTATCTAAATGCAAGAAGCATTAAAAATAAATTTCGAGAACTTGAGGCTGTTATGATTAGTGAAGGCTATGACATAGTTGGGATCACAGAGACATGGCTTAGTGAAGAGGATGGAGATGAATATAATGTAGAAGGTTATAAGCTCTTTAGGAAGGATAGATGCAATAGGCGAGGAGGGGGTGTAGCACTCTATGTGAACGAACACATAAATGTGCAGGAAATTCCTGAAATTGAACATTCCTTGCCCTGCGAAGATATCTGGGTCAGGCTCACTGGCAAACACGAGACTGGTTTAAACATAGGTGTATGCTATCGACCACCAGCTTTGGACAGTACAGTCAATGAAATGCTCTTTAAGAGGATTACGCAAGCTTGTAGAGGAGGAGGGACTATTATTATGGGAGACTTAAATTATCCTGGTATTGATTGGGAAAAGGTGAAAGGACAGGGAGGGGGAGGAAGAATTTCTAGATGTCATAAATGATAATTTTTTGGTGCAGTATGTTAATAAACCTACAAGAGAGAAGGCAATTTTAGACTTAGTGCTCTGTAATGACCCAGATAGAATTAGCAATGTTGAGGTACGGGAGCCACTTGGGACAAGTGATCACTCTACTATAATTTTGAGGTTTCATGGGAATTTAAAAAGGTGT